TATCTGCTTTTATCTACCCCTTATTGAAACTATGATTTTGGATCTAGACTTTGAGAAAGTACATGTGCAAATACTTTGGTAATGGTAAGAGTTACCAAACTGAAGTTTTTTCCTTCGTTTTGTCTTTATCATTTTTTAAATTATGTATACATGCAAAACGAACAAAAACAAGAAAATAAAGCAAATGAGCCACATCTTAATTTTATAGTTTATCATATATCTTACATTGCACTTCTCCAGAATTTGTTATTCCCCTCCACTCTGTTTCCTCTGCTTGTGTAGAAATAGATCCATGTGTGTGATTTTCAATGGCTTATCAGCATTTCTCATATCAAAGTTACTTAAGCGAACCTCTTATTATGTATTCAGCTTATTCTATTATTTCACTGTTATAACTAACGATATGATGATAATCTGTGTAAATATACCTTTAGACACATCTGATTATTTTTTTTAAGATAGTAAAATTGCTAAGTGAAAGGGCATGCACATCTTTTTGGATTTTGCTGCATATTTCCAAATTGCTCTCAAGAAAGATTTTTCCAATTTGCGCTGTCACCAGCCACGGATACGTGAGTCAGCTCCCCCACACCCTTGTCAACACCAGGCGTTTGCATTATTTTCAATCATAATAAGATGTTTTTGTTATTATTATATATTTTTTTGGTTTCCCGCATATCATTCTCTCTCTATTTTTTTTTTCTATTTTTGTTCTTTCTCGCCTATTTGGTGAGAAAATGCAGGTTGTGAATCTAGAAACTGTCTCCTCTTTGAACTAGAATTCCTTTCTCTAGAGGCTCTAAAAACTATTTCATAAAGAAATGTTGTTCAAGCTCTCCAATTTGAAGCATCCCAATCACCACCAGATAAACCAGCAGATAAACCACCAGATATAATTAATTCTATTTTTTAAGTATAAGTAAGTTTCTTTAATGAGGAGTGGATCATAAGATAACTTGGTGACTAGGTGTTCTTGGACAAGTTATGATGCCTTTGGGCTTCAGCATCGCCCTGTGTTCAATGAAATACATCAAGGATTGGCAGGCAAGGAAAGGAATCATCCCATATGTTGCCCAATTTTTATTTTTGTTAATAAAGTTTTATTGGCTGATAGCCATGTCTGTTCATCTTGTTTATTTATTATCTGTGGTTACTTTTGTGCTTCTATAGCAGAGTTTAATGATCGTGACAGAGTCTGCAAAACCTAAAATATTTATCATTTCACCCTTTGTAGAAACAGTTGGCAGAGTTCTAGACATAACTTCTACGGTCCCTCATAATATTATATTTTTCAGAGAGAAAGATGCTGATTTGCCTTCAGAATTTAATAAATTGTCATGTGTTGTTTTTATTGACCATACTGATAAATGTGGTATCACAGATTTTCAAAAGCTCTGGTGAGTGACAAGGTAGGTGTCTTAGGTGATGGAAGTGTTTTCCCCTTAGTATTGCTTTTCTCAGCTGATAGAGAAACAGCTCTATCTAATCAAGTTAGGATAAAGCACTATGAAGCAATGGTTCCCTCTTCTTTTTAAAGAATATCTTTGGTATGTATTAGTTATGACTTCTGAAATATTTTAAGCTACTTTTACTTGCGCTATACTAAAGTAAAAACACTGAATATTTGATCCATTTCATGTGGTATTTCTCTCAAAGATAATTTTTCACTAAGAATACAATTTTGAAAACACAATTTGGAACATTTTACTTTAATTTATTGTTTCTTCTCGCAATTTATTTTGCAATTGTTACATCCAAGAGACAATAATCCCTCACATAAAAAGCTCAGTGTTGCAGTCACATAGACACGAATGCTTGAAGGCAATTGGCTTATTTTGTCAAAGTTGTCAAGACAATTCTCGCTTCCAGGTTCCAGTGGCTTTTGCTGTCTGTTGCGTGGACTCTGCAGCAAGCTGACTTGCCAGAGTCAGGTGTGGATTGAGGCAAGGCTGTGATCTGGAAGGACCCCCCACAAGCCATTTTTACACTAAGTACAGGATATTGCAATCAGCATGACCTGGTAGGAGAAGGAAATGTGAATTTCTTTTTTTTTTTTTTTTTTTTTTAAAGATTTATTTATTCATTTATACAAGCACTGGGTACAGTCAGAAGTGCGGGAGGGTGAGAGAATTCACCAGAGCCAGAGTGGGGAAGAGAAACAGGCAGACTAACGAAATACACTGCTGAGGGGAGCAGCGGGTGGCAGGAGAGGTCTGCGTGCCATGTGGGTCCCTCACCCGTGGCTGGGGTTCAAACCGGCACTGCAGAGGCTGCAAGCAGCTTCGCAGACCAGCGCTCAACCACTGTGCCACCGGGGGAGGCCTGAATTTCTTATTTTTCATCCTTTCTCAGCTGTGTTGAAATGGTCATTTTCTGTCTCTTAAAGTTCACCAGGCAATCCCAGTTTAGTGGCAGGTTCCCAGTTAAAGTGTCCTAAGGTTCTAGAATCATAAGAGAAGTGACGAAAGCAAAGCTTCTATTTGATTCAAATAAGTTGATGATTCATAAGGTAATACCACTAAGAGAGACATAAAATAATAGACAACTAACATGTAACTAGTAAGCTAAGAGAGGAAAAGAAAGAGGGAGTATTGGGCCCCCCTGGTGGTGCAAGGGGTTAAGACACAACCTATGAAGCTATCCTCAGCCTCTGCAGCATGAGTTTGATCCCCCAGCTGGCCAGGGAGCAACCCGCATGGTGCAGCAGACCTCTCCTGACTCACCCGCTGCTCCTCTCAGCAGTGTCTTTCAGTCAATCTGCCTGTTCTGCTCCCCACTCTGTCTCTGGTGAATCTTCTCACCCCCCATACCTCTGGCCTGTGCCCTGACTCTTGTATGCATAAAATAAAATAAATCTTTAAAAACAAAAGAAAAAAAAAAAAAAACAGAAAGAGGGAGTATTAATGGTGATGATAATGATGATGAAAATAATAATAATAAATGATTGATATGGAAGAAAGGAAGCAGAGACATGAGCTTATAATGAAGTTGAGGAGAAAAATAGTTAAATATAAATCTGAATATAATTTCATTATATGTAAATGTACAACATGCAGTGAAATAGAGTCCATAAAGACACATATTCTATGAGAAATACCGTTAAATATAAGGACACAAAAACGTTGCAGACAAAAGAATCATAAAACAAATACCATATGTACATTAAATGAAAGTTAAATATACATAGACTAATAAAGACCAAGTAGACTCTAAGACAGCAAACATTAGAAACAACGAGGACATTTTTATGTGAAAATGGTGTAAAAATACAATAATTTTAAATGTTTGTATGATAATAACATCAAAATGTATAGAGGAAATTTGACAGAATTATGAGAAATAAGACAAACCCTAACTTGATAAACACCTCAATATTTGATAGAACAAACAGATAAAAAAATAGTGAAGTTATGAAATTTCTAAAACATACAGCTAACAAATGTGACCAATTTACATATTGTGACATATTTATATAGGATATGTAGAGTACCTCACATGTATTAAAATGCATAGCTACTGCATCATACAGCTATAGGGAATATTAAAACCTGCACCATGCTAATCATTCCAAATGCATACGGGACATTATACGACCTCGCACTTCTCTTTGGGGTAACTTGGGCCAGCCTCTCTTTTGAGAGCAGATGTTTTGCCCTTTGGGAGTTTCCTCTTGGCTGTTCCTTCCCTTGGCCTTATCTTAGGGATATGGGGATGTATGTCCTTTGAGACCGAGAGAAACTTTCTATGTCCAGTTCCCAACTGCTGGATATTGAAGGGCTGAGGATTTGGTCTCAAACAGTCACCTGGTGCTTGGATCTCAGGCTTGTAGATTTTCAAGCAGCCCAACTCTAAAGCTTAGTCTTTGATTACAAAGTTTTCCAGCCTGAAATACTGATTTGCTCTTATCTTTACCTTCATCCTAATGGTGTCAGCAATGGAACAGGTTCAGTCAATCCCAGCGGGGATGAGGGTTTTATCACTGACTTGGCATAGAATTAGTGGCACATGAAGATGATAAAATATCAGGCTGACTGTTTTAAAACTCTCTATTGCAGTGTACACCCTAATTACCTTCACATGGGGGAGACTGCTCCCTTGGCCAAAATAGAAAAAATTGCTACATCCCATTAGCTTGTGTTTCCACATCACGTGGGGGCTGCCTCTTCAAGGCAGCCAGACTTCTGTCTGGAACTACATCCTTAATTTTGCCTTTACCCTCAGTGATGAGACCCTTCGACAATATGTAGGAATATTATTCTTTCATCTACCTTTGTCCCTTAAAATCTTTTAAACTTTTATCTCTGTTTGGTGTCTAAATGCAAATGTTGTTTCAACATTGAAAACCTGACATTTCTTGGCTCTCTCTCTCTTCATATTTTATTTTTTTTTGGTAAAGATTTATTTATGCATGCAAGAGCTAGGGTGCAGGCCAGAGATACAGGGGGTGGGAGGATTCACTAGAGACAGAGTGGGGAGCAGAATAGGCAGATCTTCTGAAATACACTGCTGAGGGGAGCAGCGGGCAAATCAAGAGAGGTCCACTGGGCCTTGTGGGTGGCTCGCTGGCCGGGGATTGAACTTGCATTGCAGTGGCTGTGGATAGCTTCATAGTGCTGTGCTTAAACCCTTGCGCCACCAGGGAGGCCCTCTCTCTATTCTTATTATGGCTTGCAAACAATTTTTTTCCAGACTCATCTCTTTCTTGTAATACCTTATCAAATGTCGTTATTCACCTGTAACACCAACAGCTAAGGCGTGTCTTTCCATCTCTCCCCAGAGCTACATGCTCCTTCCTGAGTAGTCTGTCTTCCAAGCACCCACATGTTTGCCAGGTATGTCGCTACTGACGTACATCATGAATTCACATCCATTTTCTCAACACCCCCACTTTTTAGCATCTGACTTAACTTTCTCACTTTTTGTCAGGTCAGGCTGCGCTTGGGCCCTGTGACAAAAAATGGCAAGCCCTTGGAGCCTTAAAATTAAACTTTTTCTCGCTCTCACAAAGTCCAAGGCTGATGGGGGGATGCCCATGTTGCCAAGCCTTCTTCAATCCCGTGGGTTTGTCTTGCTAATAGGGACCTCGATTCTTTGAGAGAAAGCAAAAGAGAGCAAAGTGAAAAAGAGAACGAGCCAAAGGGAAACTTTGAAGGCTGCAAAAGTGCTTTCCTCAGCCTCAGAACCCATCACCCTGCGCTGTGGACCCTCTCACTGTGAGGGAGGAAGATATACAGATGCAGCGTGTTTGAGAATGAGAGAAGAACCAGCTACTAGGGAGCACTAGAAATATTTCTCTGAGTAGGTATTACAGTCTCCAGGTTAGAGAAGGGGAAACTGAACCTCAGGAGTAGTAAGATGATCTCCCCGAGATTAAGATTACCAGTTAGTCAGTGACAAAGCCCAAAATCAAACCCAGGTCACTCTGTTATTCTGCCCTGTGACCTAGTTCTTCCAATGCACTTACTTGTTAAATCATTTCAAATACTGTAACACCACACTGACACAAAAGGCCCTTGGAGAATGAAAAGCTGAATGTTCCTCTATAAGACTGTAATGGCTCCCCAATGTTTTTAAAACGCATAAAACAACTTAGGATACACGTATTTTCAGTGACTGATAATGTAGACACACCTACCTCAGAGATGGGTGTTCTCTTCTTGTGTATCTTTGATCCAGAGGCCTCAGCATTTACTACTGTTGAGTCAACCCATCCAGTATCCCCAGGGATAAGATTGTCTGGTGGGGAGCATTGGGGTGCTTTGTACCTTAGAGGCTGCAATGCAATGATTTAGGAAGAAACCATGCTTGAAACAAAAACCAGGATTTCTCTGGTGGGGATAATTCTCCTGAAACACTGGATGAAGAAGGGGTTGATGTAGGGGGTTCCTTGGTGTGAATGGAAGTTTTGGGAGAAACAAGGAAGTTATTTGATGAAACATTAGTTGAGAAGATGAAAATTACCAGTTGATCTTAAAATACCAGCTGCATAAAAAATTGCAGCTGTATAAAAAGAGCCTGAAGCATTGTGTGTCTGGGTACACTTCCCTTAAAATTCAGGGGTTTTAAAAAAATAATTTGAAATCTTTACAACATAAAGACGTCAAGTAAAATTCAAAAGTTTTTGCCTAAATTCTTATATGTCTTTTCTTTACTAATAAGTTTTTTCATTGTTTTTTTTTTTAAACACCTCAAACTCATTTTCATGACTTAAGTCAGATTTAAAAGTACCAAAAATGTTTGAAAAACTTACTCCAAAGCTTATCCTGTAGAAATTACGATAATTGTATTAGGTGAATATTATTTCAAGCATGTATGCATCAGATACATAGTATAGAGAACAAAGTAATTAAAAGAAATGATTTCACACTACTTGAAATATAAACATTAGTAACATTATATATATTTTAAAATATATATTTATAGCTAAACCCATCTCCCAGAAACGCTTAATATATTAATATGTATTTATATCATTTTATATAAATATAGCATACTTACATTATATATTATATTTATATTATATATAATATTTATATGATATTATATAATATTTCTATCCACAATATATTGTATTAATAATATATGATATACTGAAAAGAGCTGTTTGCTGTTGTTGTGGGCCAACAACTCACAAAGAACTGCTAATACTGGTAGACCTGACACTGCCCCCTTCTGACTGGTAGTGACCAGCACTACTGGCCAGTGCTACCCAGCACTGTTGACAGGTGACTGGCTCTCTGTGTCTGGGCATCCTTTGCGAGCTGCTAACACAGTGTATCTCATCGTCCAGTGCTGCCTCCTGGTTTTGTCGCCTCCATGGCTGTCTGGTCCAGTGACTAGCGCTGTCCATCCCGACCTTCAGACTGTTGCTGTGGGCTGTTGTGGCATCATCTCAGCGACCCTACCTGTGAGCATCTCCAGATCCTGGCCCACTGCTTGCTGGTGTGCCTCTAGCTCCATGCCCTCGTTGATAGAGCAGCAGCATCTTGCATGAATGGCCTTGGGAATCAGGACGTGGATGCGCTATCCAGGATGAGAGCTGGCCTCTGTGGCCTTAGAATCTCTATTTTTCTCCTGTTGGTTAAAAACCCTTATTGTTGTTTTTCCCTAGAGTGGCGTCCTCAGATGTTGGGCTTCCTGACTACCCATTCACTAGTTTACATAGTGGAGATTGGGCCCTGAAAACTGATCCCTTAGGGAGAATTTGTCCTGCTTTAAGCTCAGCAGAAGGACAAAGGGCTGAGACCAGCACAATCTCATTGTTTGGGAAGGAGGAGGTGCTCTGCCTCTTCCACCGCTCACTTTCTTATTGAGGCTAATTGAGGGTTCTGGACCCTCCCCTGTATTCCTGCCAGGTCAGTCCTGGTGGGCTATGTGGGTCCATCAACAGTAACAGGGAGAAGGTATTGACAAGAGGCTGTTCTTCATCCTCAGCTGCTCTAGACCCATCTGTTGCTGTCCCAGGTGACACTGGGCTGGAAATCTGGGAACTAAGTGTTGGGACTCCAGAAGTGGGCAGCATGTGAGGATGGAGCTGAGACCTGGTGGGAGGGAGAGATGAGGACTGAAGGGTGAGGAATGAGACCCCCAGATGGAAGGGTTGGATTGGAGGCACTGAGTCATGGCTAAGTGACAGTAAAGGGAGTGTCACAGCATCTTCTCTCCCATGGGATACCCTTGGGTCAGAAAGTGACAGTGAACAATGCATTAGATTGGATGAGCCATGTGAGGGGCTGATTTGAGGAGCTCAGGGCCTCTGTGCAGCTGCCTCTCATTGTCCCACCAGGAACCTTTCCAGGAAACTTTAGGAAACGTGCTTTCTCCTGTTTGCCTTTCCTCCCTCTCCATCTACCTACCTACCTACCTACTTCCCTCTCATGTGGCTGCCTACCTGTCTGTGGTTCCTTTATCAAGTGTGAGCATCCATGTGTATGTGTGTTTCTGTTGGTATTAGCAGTGGAGTGGCTTTGGAGGGCATGTGTGCTGTAGCATTTCATACCATGAATAGCTCTGATGTTTTAAATTTGGCAAGACCTTCACATTATCCTAACTTTTCTCTTGTTCCATGAATTTTGTGTGCGGTTACCTCTTCCCCATGGCTAGTTCTCCTCCACAGATCAAAAAAACATAGAGACATATTTTTTTAAATTTATTTATTCATACAAGAGCTGGGTACAAGCCTGAGGGGTGAGGGGTGAGAGGATTTACCAGAGACAGAACAGGGAACAGAACAGGCAGATTGACTGAAATACACTGCAGAAGGGAGCAGCGGACAAGTTAGGAGAGGTCTGCTGCGCCATATGGGTTACTCTCTGGCCGGGGATTGAACTCGTGCTGCAGTGGCTGAAGCTAATTTCATAGGTTGCGTCTTAACGCCTTGCACCACCAGGGAGGCCTGAAACATATTTTAATACTAAATATTTTGTGCATTATCTAACATACTGTATTTTGAATAAGTATATATATACACACATTTATACATATATAGATTTATATATACAGATTTATACATATATATATACATGTATATAAACAGATACAGAGACGTGTGATTATTACATATATTACATATATATATATATATAATATATAATTTTTTCCCTCCCATCATCCAGCAGAGAAATTTACCTAGGACACAGTGTGATGTTTTTTGATTAGATTCTCAGTGCATTGTCAACCATTCACCTACAATGAGAAAGAATATCATCAACAAATTCTTAAAGATGGAGCGTTCAGTCAGTACCTGCACTTGGCAAAGTGAACATAGGAAGGTAGGAAAGATGCAAATTTGATGAGAGATGAATTACAATGACGTGATAAATTTTAAGAGAAATATAACTTTTAAAATTGGATTTCCAATGTTATATGGTCTCCAGACAAACTGAGATATATTTATGGTGCACAATGTGATGATTTAACGGACATACACATTGTGGAAAAAGTTACCACAATCACATTAATTAACACATCTTTACCTTTATATATATTATATTTATTTATTTATTTATTTATTTATTTATGTATTGGTAGGAATTATTAGAAGCTGCTATCCTAGCAAGTTCAACCTACTCTCTAAGGTGTGATGGATGATAGGCAGCAAGCTGGGTATTAGATCCCAGGAATCCTTCATCTTATACTGAAGAGGTGTGCCCTTGGCTGCTGCCCAGGAACAGACCACAAACGCCTTGTCCTGGGAGCGTCAGGGGAGTGGAGGTGGCTGTGATGGGGAGCCCTGAGGAATCCCCCTCCTCGGCCTTCAGGCTCCTGTTCTGCGCTGTCACTCTCAGCAGAGCAGGGGTCGTTCCTGCCCTCAGCTGGTTTCCATAAACAGAAACACTGATTGGTGGCAAGGATTGATACTTGAAACAGAGTGTTTACTACAAATAACATCAGGGAGTGAACAAACCACTTAATAGCAGCAGGTGGAACCAGACTGTGGGGTGAGCTACTTGAAGTCCTACACGGTTTAGCTTTTCAGTTATTTTTCTTGTCCTTAGCAACATGATTTATTGATATACACGATCAATAAAATATATATATGATATAGTATATATCAATAAATCAAAAATGTGTGTAAATCAAGTAAATTGATATATGTATACAGCAATAAACGCTGTAACTGTATAGTTCATTTGTCTTCCCTCTGAAAATTATCCCATGGTACACAAATGCCACTTTGTGAGGCCATCCCAGTTGATTCCAGTGTTAGTGATCAGATCTAAAGCTCCAACAAACATCCTGTGCAGATTTTCATTTATTTTCATTTTTTGATGATTATGAAAAAGTTGTTATAAAGTCACTTGAGGATTTTCTCTGGACAAAATATTTAGAGTCCTTTTTATAAATGTATAACTTGAAACTGATTCCTTTTCACCAAAAATCATACAATTCGAAAAGCTACTCCCCACTGGTTAGTGTTAGATGAGTAAGATGCAGCTGCAGCAGGGCTGACTGTCCTGCAGGCACAGCAGGGAGGGTGTGAGATCCAGTGATACACTCAAGGGCACAGAAATTGATTCATTCATTTTAATAATGGGAAAAAATGAATATAAACCAGCTGAAAGCAACCAGACCTAACCTGAGAGGACAGGACTCTGTCTCCATGGAGACCCCTCACCTAGGGATGTGCTGCTGGGAGTGACTCTGAGGACAGAGGGAGGGAGGGGCCTGCCCCAGGGGGGCCCTGGAGGAGCCTGGGCCAGGACAGCAGCAAGAAGGAGCAGAGCCCCAGGCTGAGCCTCAGCAGCAGCTGCCAGGGGTGCCTGCTCTTGGCAGAAGAGAAAGGGGGTTTGTGTCTCATGTCCCCACAGGCCTGGAGCAAGGGGGGGCCACTGAGACTGTAGTCATAGCTCTGGCAGTAATAATCAGCCTCGTCGTCAGGCTGGAGACCAGCCATGGTCAGGGTGGCTGAGCTGCCAGACTTGGAGCCAGAGAATCGATCAGGGATCCCCGCAGGTCGATTGCTGGTACCATGTATCAGGAGTTTGGGGGCTGTTCCTGGGAGCTGTTGGAGCCAGGCCACACTGTAAGTCCCAATGTTGGAGCTGCTTCCAGTGCAGGAGAGGGAGACCCTCTGGCCCAGGTTCCCAGACACTGATTGTGGCTGAGTCAGCACAGACTGGGCCCAGGATCCTGGAAGGGGGAGAGACAAGGAGTTGGTTTTTGCTGGGATCTACAGACCAGAAGAGGAGGCAGGGCCCCAAGCATCTTCCCAGGCTCCCTTCCTGCTCCCCATAGCCAATTACCTGTGCAATGAGAGAGGAGCATGAGGAGCAGAGGGGACCAGGCCATGGTGCTCACAGGGCCCTGAGACCCACAGTTCAGCTGGCCTTGCCCAGGCCTCCTTTTCTTCTTCAGGCTCTGCCACAGGAGGGGCTGTTCATGCAAGTGGGGTTTATGCAAATGGGGTTCATGCAAATGGAGTCTGCTCAGCCCCTGCCTATGCACTGGGGCTGGAGCTCAGCTCATACCACATACAAGGAGGAGGGGTTTTGATTGTGAGAACCCTGGGAGGAAGCACCTGCTGACCCCACCCAGAAGTCCCTGCTCAGTACTGCAACTTTGTCAATAGGACACAGCTGCTTAGTCCCCATCTTGGAGCCCAGGGTCCAGCCCCTAGGCCCAGACACATCTGTATAAATATCCTCATTGAGCAAGAGTGTAGGGTGCACAGGATCGTTCCACAGCGCCCCCTGCTGGCTGAAGGGCACACACTCACCAGCACTGAAGTCCAGGGAGCCCAGCTGCTGCCTGTGATCACCAGGTCACAGTGTAGGTCACACTCCTGGGACTGACTCACAGGCTGTGAGAAACATTGTGCTGCACAGGGTCACTGAGGCGCCCCCACGCTCAGTGGCGACCTGGTGTAAAAAGATGCAGCATGGGCATAAATGACTGCTTAAATTTTATGACTAGAGAAGATACTGCAAGCATCATATGCTTGCATTGGTACACAAATTAGAATTTGGATACATTTCAGTATTCCAAAAATCACATGTATTGAAGCAGTGCACTCCAACTCCTCTCCTATAAATTAATTTGCATATTCACCCTCTATTTTTAGGTAATTTAATCTTAATTTAATTTTTAGATAATTTTACTAATTCACACTAGGGAGACAGAAGAATGAATTTTTTATTGGTGATGTCCAAATTATTTTTTAATGGATTATGCTGTTGAAGTCTGGGACCTACTGGGTGTTCAGTAAGTGTGTGGATGCACTCCATCCGGGAGCCAGCTCCCCCAAGTTGCTGGTGGACGCTGTGCCCCTGGTGCTGCCCAACCCCTTGATATCAATGACTGTATCCCCCAGTGTCCTGTGTGGAAACCTAAACCTCAGTGTGACAGTATTTGCGACGAGGCATCAAAGAAGATGATTCAGATAAAGACAGTCATGAGGATGATGTCCTCATTGAGAAGAGCAGGTGACTTTATAAGAAGAGAAGGAGCACCAGGGGTGAGGCCCACAGAAAAGCCCATGTGGGGTCACCGTGAGACACAGCCATTAAAACCCAGCAGAGAGATTCCAGGAGAATCCAAACCTGCCGACTCCTGATATTGGGCTTCCAGACTCCAGCAGTGGGAACAAATGAATCACTCTTGATTAACCCTCCCATCCTGTGGTTGTTATGGTGGCCCTAGGCGACCAGCCCACCCCTCGGGAACTATCCCCAGGGTGCCTGTTTCACATCAAGGATCTGTGCTCAGCAACTCCCTGAGCCCTGGTGCTGCAGTTCAGCTCACACGCCACACTGAGCAGGAGGTGGATTTGCTTCACCCCTTGGGAGAGCCCTGGAGTAAGCACCTGCTGACAAACAGAGGTCCCGCCACTTTTGACCAAACAAATTGGGAACAGCTGTGTTGTTAGAAGGTGTGCAGATTAAGCCCCATCTGAGGGGTTCCTGCCTCACTTCCCCACAGGCCTGGAGCACAGTGCAACACCCCACGTGCTGCTTTGTGACTGGCAGTGGTACTCAGACTCGTCCTCAGTCTGGAGCCCAGTGATGGCCAGCGAGCCCGAGGTGCCAGACATGGAGCCTGAGAATCGACCCGGGACCCCTGAGGGTCACTTGTTACTGTCATATATCAGGAGTTTGGGGGTTGTTCCTGGGAGCTGTTGGTACCATTGCACATTATAACCCCCGATGTTGGAGCTGCTTCCAACAAAGGGGATGACGATGCTCTGGTCCAGCGCCCCAGACACTGAGGACGGCTGAGTCAGCTCAGACTGGGCCCAGGATCCAGGAATGGGGAGAGTTACAGAGAGGGTGATGCCAGGGTATAGAGACAAGAGGAATAGTTGGGCCCCCTGGATCCTCACCTGTGCAGTGAGAGATGAGCACTATGAACAGAGGTTTCCAGGCCATTGCGCTCACACCTCTGAGCTCCACATGGGGCTGGGCTGCCCCAGGCCTCCTTTTCTTCCCCACCCTCTGCCATGAAGGGCTGTGCATGCAAATGGGTTCCAGGCCCTCCCTGAGTCCTGGTGCTGGGGTTCAGCTCACACCCCACACTCAGGAGGAGGGAGGTTTTTGTTATCCCTTGGGAGAGCTCTGGGATGAAGCACCTGCTACCACCAACAATGTCACTGCTCAGGGGACTGTGTCAGGCCAGGGAAGACACAGCTCTGTGTTCCAATCAGGGATCCCAGGCCCAGTTCCAGGCCCAAGCTCCTCTGAGGGAATAGTCCTCAATGATCAGCAATGTAGGGTCCACAGGGCAGTCCCACAGCACCCCTGGCTGGTGTTGGGGTACACACTCACCAGGGCCCATAGCCCTGAGAGAGCAATTTAATTCTGCAGCTCACACAACGGGAGCTCCACTCACACATCATGCCCTGACTTATGCAAACCGTGTGGCCCCTAGTGTTGCACATGGTTATGCTAACTTCTCACTCTCACATGGAGTTTTCATCTGTGGGATATAATGTGTCATGAATAACACCCTGAAGTTTTTGTCCCTAGAAAATAATGTAATATAAAGATGATATTACCTCATTAATATATGTGTTAGGTATGGGGAAATGGCTATTTTTCCATGCAGTGTGTGTTAAAATAGGAATTTCCAACCACTGCTACATAAATTTATTTGACTTTTAATTTCTTATTTTGTAGCACAATAAAATGTCTTGCATCACCCCCTACTGGTCATGTGTGGTAATAATGACAACAAAAGGTAAGGATACTCTCTAATAAAGAGTTAAATGTTCATGCAGGAATCACCATGGAGGTGAGCAAACAAACAGCTCTGGGCGCCATTAGAGAAAAACAAAGACTCCCAGGAGACCTACAAATAGCCCAAGGCCAGCCGGTAAGCTTGTGCAGAAAAGTGGCACACTTGAAAAGTATACACGGATCGCGGATGCCCAGGTCCCTGCGCCTGGGACCTAGGCTTGTGGGGAGATGCGCGAGAGCCCTCATTGAGGTGAATCTCCCTCACTGAGTAATCAGAAACCAGGCACCCAGACACAGGAGCGGGGTGCAAAAGGCGCCATTTCTGCGGACACTTCACTGGGCTACAGCCCGCGTCCTGGACCTGAGGGCTTTGGAACTGAGACCCAGGGCATGAAATGCGGGGTGTGGGATCCCCACGACGGTGGGGCACAGGGCAGACACAGCACCCCCATGCCGCTGAGGCTCTCCACACCACACCCACTCTGTTCCCCGGGACCCACAAGGTAAAAAAGCAGTTCCCAAAGGACACTAGGAAAGATCTCTGGTGCCACCTAGCGACCAGAAAAAAAATCACCAACACCCTATAGTTGGAAACCAAGGATCCCAAAAACACCCTCAGGCGCTGAGAGAGGGTGGGCCATGCAAACGGGGGAGAAATAAGACTTGGAGCAAGACCCCATCCTGGAACTGAGAGCTAGGCACAGGATCCAGGGTGTGGGATGCGCCATAGCAGCAGGCACTGCACAGGGTGACAGCCAGCACTTTGGATCTGATAGCCCTGGAACTGAGACCTAGATTGCGTATTCAGGGCATGGGATCCACACAGCTGTGGGCACAACACTAGATGAACACGGGCAAACACAGCACACAACTTGAATAAGAGCGCCTGTGTTGAGGTGCTCCCTTTACCCCCTCCCCCCTACTCAGAGAACCACTGGGAAAAAGCACAGGTCAGCAAGTGAGGGTCTCTGGCGCCACCTCGTGACCAGAACTAAATCACCAACTAGCTGATTCCCTGTTGGAACTGAGTAAATACAGAGGGAGGGAACTGTAAGGGACAGAGGCCAGCAACACAGCATCAACACCCTGGTGGAGGTTTGGCCTACCAGTGCTGGTCTCAGTCTGGTAAACAGTTTCTGACACCCCTAAAGCAGCACTCCAAAGAGATGCCCGCCAACACCAGTGACACAACGCCCCAACGCATAGAGCTAATTAGAAAGCAAACAACAGGGAGAAGAAAAAATATAAACAACCAAGCAAGCCCGCAGGAGGACACACCACAAAAAGAAATACAATCACCAGAGCTCAACAATGACATGGAAGAACTTCTCAGCCTATCAGATAGAGATTTAATAATCATCCTGATTAAAAAGCAGAAAGAAAACAAATAAGAAAAAAATGATTTGAGACAAATAATCACTGAACTGAAGAATTAAATTGAGACCTTAAGAAAGGAAAGAAAAGAAATGCAGGAGATAAAAAGATTACTAGAGGAGATAAAGAACTCTGGGAAGAGCAATGAAAACAGAATCGATGAAATGGAAGAACAGATTAGTACTATCGAAGATACAGAAATAACAAGAGTCAAAAGAGAAAAGGAGAGAGAAGTGCAAATGAAGCAGTATGAGGAGACTCTTAGACAATTATCAGACTCCATGAAGAGAGGAAATGTAAGAGTTATAGGCATTCCAGAAGGTGAGGAGAGAGACAAAGGAACTGAGAAATTATTCAAGGAGATAATTGAAGAAAACTTCCCAAGCATGAAAAAGGACATAAATATAGACATACAAGAAGCAAGAAGAACCCCCAATTACCATAATGAAAAGAAAACTATAGCAAGACACCTAGTAGTAAAGCTTGCAAGAGCCCAAGACAAGGAAAAAATAATGAAACTGGCAAGGGGGAAGAAACAGATAACTTACAAAGGAAGACCAATCAGGTCTTCCAATCAGACCAATAACTTCTGACTTCTCCGAAGAAACATTACAGGCAAGAAGAGAATGGAGTAACATATTCAGCAAACTACAAGACAGCAAATGCCAGCCAAGAATACTCTACCCTGCAAAGCTCTCCTTCTTCTATGAAGAAAAAATATGGACCTTCTCAGAAAAACAGAAA